ATATATATATATATATATATATATATATATATATATGCACATACATGCATACGCACACACGTGTATTACTACGTCTCAAATATATTTATATATGAATACACAAGGCAATAATTAATACGTAGGATTATGCGTACGATTATTATATATTATCGAAATGTGTACCTAAGGAATGTAAATTCTTGGTGTAAATCATTAAAATTAATTATTCCTTTTAATATGCATATAAAACCACATTTGATAATGTCTATCATTTTATAGTCTATATTGTCTGGTCTTGAAACTGTGGATGATTTATATTTTTCCAAAGCTATAAAAAATTCAGTATATAGAGTTGATCTAGAAATAAATAACTTGTTGATGAGTTTGATGGTGATGGATCTGTAATTCACGATGAGTAGAATCTGTTCACTGCTTTTTGCTAACTTTCTTCAAGAAAAAAACCATTGCTAAATTCTCTTTTTACTTTTGCCCATTTTGATTTGAAACTTTTTAATGTAGTCCAGAAGTCTGAGTCTGTTCTCAGACTCTCTAGATTATTTGTTAATCTAAACAGCAAATATCTCTCTAGAAGTTTGCTTATTTTTTTTAGCAGTTTTCTTTAGCAGCTGTTTGTCGTTTATGTTGAGTCCACTCATCTATGGGTAGAGTATGTAGTCATTTTTTGAGAAAAGTCTAATTTTCCTCACTACCTAATTGTATTCATCATCTCACCATCATACTGGATTATTTTTGTTGGTCTTTATAGTTCTCTCATTACTTTCATGACATTAACGTATATATATAAATTATTGTATCTGCATACTGGTGAGAGAGTATTGAATTCACACCTGATGAAAGATGTGTTATAAAGGTCCATTTTCATCTTTGTATCCCTTCCATCTAGTTTTGTTGGAGAAGAGTTTGATTTCTTACGACAGATATATTTTTCTATGTCTACAGCGCAGTTTATTAGAAAATGATCTGAACCATATGTGTCATCTATTGTTATGTTATAATTCTGGATCTTTGAGATTATATGATCTAAATTGTTTTTTTACCTTCATCTTTTCTATTTCAACAATAGAAGTCAAAATAAAAAACAAACAAAAAAAAAAGAAAACTAAACGTTGAAACTTAACGTTGACAGCAAAAATAAGTTCACTCAAAATTGGAGCTATAGACATGAAATCCAGGTACTTTGGCTATACAGAGATCACATTCCCAAACAAGGTCTGTGCTTATGAACTTAGAAGAACTAAACAAACAAAATCTGAAAGTCTTCATATCAAGACGACTAGAGAAGACAGAATTGGCACAGATGTGACAAAAATCATTAATGAAGCTATCTTTTCATGTAAAATTTTAAATACCGGTAGAGTTAATAAAAAGATTTAAACCGCTGAAGATAATAAATGGGAGTAAATCCATAGCAAAGCTATACTCTTATTTACTTTTGAAGGAAACACTTTACCAGAATGTTTTAAAATCTTTAGTCTTTACAACATAAAGGTTCATGTTCATATCAATCTCGTTAAAACAAGTAGAAATTGTTATAGATACGGCTACACAACCAAAACCAGAAACACCATGCACTGCTGTCACATTGTGTGCTGACTATATTAAATAACTAAAGAAAATGTGTAAAATATCATCATATATGTTTTCTTAAGAGTATGAGCATTATCTCTACAACAAACAAATCAACGAAATAATAGCCGAAAATAAAGATTTTTGGAAAACTACAAATTACAAATTGATAGGGAAAAACAATCAGATGAAAGGAAACCAATTCTAAAGAAAGACAATGTCTTTGGAATTACTCTAAACAAATTTAATTTCTCTCGTTTAAAAAAACTTTCTGTAACTGTGAGTTCGAAATAAAATCTTTACAGACTAATCAATAAGTATAATATATAACTCAAAGAATCATTCATATTTAAGCTATAATTATCAGAAAACAAGCCATTTGAAAAACAGATGTCACCCACAGAATTTACGACATAACAATTAGACAATATACACATGATTGATCAATTTCCAATAGATTGCGCTATAAAAATAAAAAAATTTATCTATTTTGAACAGAATTAGACACTATCACGTCAAAATAGGCTTTATATCGATAATAATTAATTTTAATGTTTTTAAAGACCAATAATTTGCACTTATTAGATATTTCGAAGATGATGCTATCAACTACAAATAAGAAAAGAATTTCAATCTATTAATCAAAATTTAAAAATCTTTATTAATGCATTTTAAAATGTAAATGAACATACAATGAAAGTTAAAGATTTTAAAATCATGACGCAATTTCAAAAGTTGATAAATTATTCCTCTTTATTGATTTTTTTTACAAATTAGTGCAATGCTTCGATTTGTAGGTACAATGATCGATAAATGATAAAATCACCGTACTACGTAAAGGAAAATTTTATAATTTATTTTAACGTTTACATGATACAGAATTTAATGGATGAATTACGACTGACGACTGTTTATTAATTTTAACAACTGTTATATATCTTCTTGGAAATTTGTTTGTACTTGGTAACCAATAATTTGTTGTATCTCCACGGTAACTTTTTATAAGACTGAATAGATGTCGCTACAAGTTGGACGGGTGGTGGCGCCACCTGTAAGTAAGTCAGTGATATTAATTATTATCAAAAAATTTTATTTTTGCACTTTATGGCACAAATGGGGTATATAGAAAAGAGCTGGGATTCTAATTAAGAAGATGCAATTACACAAGTTTGCAATTCAGTTCTCTAAATTAATTTTGCAAATGAAAATATATCTGTTATGGGGGTGTAGCGGCGCGCATATTTAAAAAAGTGAGTTTAACAGCGGTAACGCCGATTTAAAATGAAAAAAGAAAAAAGATAGTAGAAAATATATTGTATAGTAGAATATATTTTGTATTCTCAGTTGTTAATAATCAATCAAAGTTTTATAAAATCGTATTAAACATTAATATTAATAAACAGTTATTGTTATAGTTTCTTGTTGAATCTCGTAATATATTTTGTAAAGAAGTAAACTTCTAAAAGATTCACAAAGTGATTTAATAAGATTCAACATTGTCTCTATGATATAATAATTCGTGCAAATAAAAAATATTATAAAGAAATCAATTAAGGAAAGAAGAGGATACGTTTATCTCAAGCAACAGTTTCAAAAAATACCGAAATGGAAGATGATTTAAAAAAAAAATTAATCTTTATGGTTAAATAGAATGCCCGTTAATGTGAGAGGATTGTTGTTAGTTTTAGGAAAATTAGGTTTAGATTTAGTACACAATCAAAAATTCTTAGTATACTTATATGTAATAAATTTTCGATTTTCTCGAAAACGAAACATCTTACAAGAAAACTTTATTTTATATTTTCGATTTATTTTCACACGTAGAATAATCTCCCATTATTTTTTCCTATCAAAGGTTAACTTCAAATTTAGTTAACTTAATCATACGATTATATGATAAATTTTCGAATTTAATTTTCTTAAAGTCGAAAACTTATATGGAAAAATGTTATTCTTTCTGTTCAATTTATTTTTTCATTTAGAATCTCTCCGATTAATACTAAGTCATCCTGTATATATGTACAAATCATAAACAAGGAATGTGATAATGTGCAATTAGTACATTGATACTAATAGTAAGTAGTAATTAGTTTTAAAAAATATAGATAGTTGAAACCATAATTGAAAACCATGTATATTAATATTCATTTAGAATCATGTATTTACATAGATTTGAAAAGCACAGCAGAAACAATCGATCAAATTTTCATTCGAAAAAATATAAATATATGGATTAATCTATGATTTTTTTGTAATTGTATCTATCTAATGCAGTTCCCAACTTTCTTCCTTTATATCATTTGAATTTTGACATGCATATACGAACACATTTATTATTAAGCTAAGCTATTATTAGGAAAGCAATCACAATTGATTAAGTGTAACATTTTGATTATATATTTTTATAAATAATTATATGTAAAGTATGTTTTTATCTATTTATCTTGTCATCGATTTATTTCTTAATTAAATATATTATAATGTATACTTGTTAATTGATTCCTAGTTACATTATATGAATTTTATATAAATATCACATTCAATTTTTGTATCAATAACATAAACAATGATAAACAAAATAAGTCTTAATTAACTTTTTATTGTTTAAGATCACTTACTTTTTTGTATGCTTTCAAATTCATTCACGGTTTAATAACGATTTGTTCTGTTTGAAATACTAGTAACACAGCATTTATTGGCTGCACTGTTTATTAAAAAAGTAATACTTCACGCAATACGCAACGTACACAGAAATCTCGTTCTATGGTGTCATTGATTCACATTAAACATGTAACAGTGAGAAAGGTAAGGCGTATTTTTCGAAATCTTAAACATTGACAACTTTTGTCGAACATGACAAATATATACAATTTTTTTTATAGGCGAACGAAGAGAGACTATTTCAAACGTATCCGGTAAATTATCTTTAGGGGTGGGGTCCCTGTCATTTAAAGCCAAAGAGGTGAATGAATTATGTTGACCTTGTAAAAAAAAATATAATATAATCATGGCACGACCTATTGTACCTAGTCAACAAAAGTTAGCAGAAAAGCTAACTATTTTAAATGACAGAGGTATTGGAATGTTAACTCGCATTTATAACATAAAAAAGGCATGTGGTGATGCAAAATCAAAGCCTGGATTTCTTTCGGATAAAAGTTTAGAATCTTCTATCAAAATGATTGTTAGAAAATTTCCTAATATTGATGTTAAAGGTCTTCAAACTATTACAAATCTTCGTAATGAGATAATTAAATCTTTATCTCTGTATTATTATACGTTTGTTGATCTACTCGATTTTAAAGACAATGTTTGTGAACTTTTAACTACAATGGATGCTTGCGGTGTTCATATGGACATAACGATAAATTTTGACTTAACAAAAGGTTATTTGGATCTTGTTGTTACATATGTCAGTTTAATGATTCTTTTATCGCAAGTAGAAGATCGCAAAGCAGTTTTAGGATTATTTAATGCAGCCCATGAAATGGTGCATAGTCAATCTGATCCAAGCTTTCCTCGTTTGGGACAAATGATAATGGATTATGATGCCCCGTTAAAAAAGCTCTCAGAAGAATTTGTTCCTCATTCTAAATTATTAAAGACTGCTCTTACCTCATTGTGGCCTATTTATCCTGAAAGAAATTTGTCTGCAGATACATGGAGAGCAGATCAAAAACTAAGCCTTGTTGGAAGTCCTGGACAAATACTTAAGGCAGCAGCAACAGATACTATGTCCTGTGAAACTTTGAGTTTGGATAGAATAGAAAGATGGGTTATTTTAGGTTTCACATTGTGTCACTCTTTTTTAAATCAGGAACAGCCAAGTAAATTATGGACCACAGCATTAGAATCTGGCTGGGTACTTGCTTTGTTTAGAGATGAAGTTATTTACATACATCAGTATATACAAACATTTTTTGAAAGTATAAAAGGATATAGTAAAAGAGTATCTGAAGTGAAAGAATGTTATAATCAAGCAGTGCAAAAGGCTGGTTATAGACACAGAGAAAGAAGAAAATTTTTAAGGACAGCATTGAAAGAATTGGGTTTAATTTTAACTGACCAACCTGGTCTCTTGGGACCAAAAGCACTCTTAGTTTTAATGGGACTTTCTCATGCAAGAGATGAAGTTTTATGGCTTTTGCGACATGGTGTTAATCCTCCCACACAAGGAAAAGGTAAAGGAAGGGGAGGTGAAGATTTAGTGGATCGCCAATTGCCAGAATTACTGTTTCACTGTGAAGAATTGAGAGCATTAGTGAAAAAATATTCTCAAGTACTTCAGAGATATTATGTGCAGTTCTTATCTGGATTTGATGCCCCTGCATTAGATCAAATGATACAAAATCTTCCAGTTTGTCCAGAGGATGAAGGAGCGATTCTTAGTGATATGTGTTCAAAGATAGCTGGTCTAACAGTGAAACAAGTGGAAGATAATGAATTGTTTGATTTTCGAGCATTTCGATTGGATTGGTTTAGATTGCAAGCATATATGTCTATTGCAAAATGTAATATGAATTTAGCTGATAATAGAGAATTAGCATCTTTTATGGATACTGTAGTTTTTCATACCAAAATGGTGGATAATTTGGATGAGATGTTAGTTGAAACATCTGATTTGTCTATCTTTTGTTTCTACAGCAAAGTGTTTGAAGATCAATTTCACATGTGTTTAGAATTTCCTGCTCAAAATAGATACATCGTTGCATTTCCTTTAATATGTAGCCATTTTCAAAGTTGTACACACGAATTATGTCCAGAGGAACGTCATCATATTCGAGAAAGAAGCTTATCAGTCGTTAATATGTTTTTGGATGAAATGGCCAAAGAAGCTAAAAATATTATTACTACTATTTGTGATGAGCAATGTAACATGAGTGATAAATTATTACCAAAGCATTGTGCATTATTAATCTCTCAAGTTGTGAATCGAAAGAAAAAAGATAAAAATAAGAAGAACATGTATGAAATTCATAAACCTGGTATAGAAAGTTACAGAAAAACTAGAGAAGAACTTACTACAATGGATAAACTTCATATGGCATTAACAGAGTTATGTTATGCCATTAATTATTGTCCTACTATTAATGTATGGGAATATACATTTGCACCAAGAGAATATTTGCATCAACATTTAGAATCAAGATTTGCCAGAGCACTTGTTGGTATGGTCATGTACAATTCAGATACCAGTGAAATAGCTAAACCATCAGAATTATTTGTTAGTGTTAGATCTTACATGAATGTCCTTCAGACAGTTGAAAACTATGTGCACATAGATATTACACGTGTATTTAATAATGCACTTCTTCAACAAACTCAAGAATTAGATAGCCATGGTGATAAAACTATTGCTGCTTTATATACACAGTGGTATTCAGATGTTTTACTAAGGCGAGTTAGTGCCGGAAATATTTGTTATTCTAGCAATCAAAGAGCATTTGTTAGTTTATCTGTAGAGGGAGCAATACCTTTTAACGCAGAGGAATTTTCTGATATTAATGAATTGAGAGCATTAGCTGAATTAATCGGACCATATGGTATGAAGATGTTGAATGAAAATTTAATGTGGCACATAGCAAGTCAAGTACAACAGCTAAAAAAATTAGTTGCTGGTAACAAAGATGTTCTTATTGCATTGCGAACGAATTTTGATAAACCAGAAGTAATGAAAGAACAGTTCAAAAGATTACAGCAGGTAGATAATGTGCTGCAACGAGTTACGATTATAGGTGTAATATTAAGTTTCAGACAATTAGCACAATCTGCATTGGTTGATGTCTTGGAAGAACGTATACCGTTCCTTTTAAGTTCAATTTTAGATTTTCGACATCATTTACCATCTGGTGATCCTATGCGTGTTGTTTCTGAAATGACATCAGCTGCGGGTTTAACTTGCAAAGTTGATCCAACATTAACAGCAGCATTAAGAAGTCAAAAATCTGAAGTAGATGAAGATGAACATTTACTCGTATGTTTGTTAATGGTTTTCGTGGCCGTTTCTATTCCTAAATTAGCTCGAAATGAAAATTCTTTCTATCGAGCATCCCTAGAAGGTCATTCTAATAACATACATTGCATGGCAACTGCAATAAATAATATTTTCGGTGCATTATTCACTATCTGCGGACAAAATGATATAGAAGATCGAATGAAAGAATTCCTTGCATTGGCATCATCCAGTTTACTCAGACTAGGTCAAGAAGCAGACAAAGAAGCGATTAAAAATAGAGAATCCGTATATCTTTTGTTGGATCAAATAGTCCAAGAATCACCGTTTCTAACGATGGATCTATTAGAAAGCTGCTTCCCATATGCTCTAATACGTAATGCATATCACGATGTATACAAGCTCGAGCATTCGCAGCCATAATTAAGAAAATATAAAGATAAAGAATGTTTTCAACTTGCCACTCAGGGTAATTTTTTTTACGTCCATTACATTAAACACGGAATCAAAAGTATTTTCATTGATTGTTTAAGAACAAAAAAAGAAAATAAA